TCGAAAGGTTGGAGACAGGGGTAAAGAGGTTTTGTGTGCAAGGGCTTGGACTTCCAGCAAGCGTGCGTGAGGCTTGTTAGATAGGGGTCAATGGAGACAATGGTACTTGGGACCTGACGATCTGTATGGAGTGGGAGCAGGGTAATATTTAGTGAAGGATTCCAGGGAAACCGGTTTATTTCATATAGTCGGACTGAGTCCCTGGAAAATGGAAGTACAATGCCTGCAATTTAAAGGAGGGGTTTGGGATAGTGGCAGTTGGAGGGATATGTTGGTATCTTTATACTTATATGCTTCTAAACTGTGTAAATTCTGAGCACCTCTGCAAAAGCAGTGAATAATGTGTATTGTGGTGAAAGTTTGAATGATGAAGAGAGTATTTCCCTTTTGGGGATTTACCCTTTCTTTTTTTGGTCACCCTGCCTCGGGGAGACAACCGACTTGTTTGAAACATATAATATATATATATGTACATGTTAATAGAGGGCCACATATAATCAGATCACTTTCTAGTTTGTAGCTACACTGAAGTAAAAGGTAGATGGATAAAAGGAAGAATAGAAGCATCCGGGGGGGAAGAGAGAGGAGAAGGTTTTATAAACTAAAAGAGGAGGCAGTTTAGGTAAGATATAAACAGCTAATGGAGGATAGATGGCTAATGAGAGCATAGCAATGGGGTCGAAGAGTTTGGGGTAGGTTTTAAAATGTAGTGTTTTAGAGTGTTCAGCAGAAAGTTTGATGGTACAGGAAAAGTGGTGCAGGAGGAAGAGGAGCGATTGTGAATGATGATGTAAAAAGAGAGTAGTAAGGGAGAAAAAGTACATATGAGAAGTTTTTACAAAGTAGAAGTGATGCAAGGAGGAAGAGTATATGGAGAAAAAGAGAGGAGTTAAAGAGTGTGAAAGCAATGTAAAAAGAGAGCAAATATAGAGTGGGTGAGATGTTATCAACAAATTTTGTTGAAAATAAGACAAAGTTTGGAGTTGAGATTAACAAGTTAAGATAGCCTAGAAACAAATGGATTTGTCAGTTAAAATAGGAGAGGAGAGTTATTAAATGGAGAGTTAGAGTATTGGGAAGAGGAAGGAATATTTTGAGGAATTGTTAAATGTTGATGAAGATAGGGAATCTTGTGATTTCGTGTATAGGGCAAGGAGGAATAACATATTGTAGGTGTGAGGAAGAGCCAGTTGTGAGTGTGTGGGAATTTCGTGAGGCAGTAGTAAAATGAAAGGGGTGTAAGGCAGCCGGATTGATGGGAAAAAGATAGAAATGTTAAAAGCAGGTGGGGATATAGTATTGGAGATGGTTGGTGCAATTGTTTTAATAAATGTATGGAAGAGTGTAAGGTAACCTAGGGATTGGCAGAAGCATTCATAGTTCCTTAGTATAAAGGCAAAGGGGATAAAAGAGAGTGCAAAATTATAGGGGATAGGTCTGTTGAGTGTACCTGGTAAAGTGTAAAGGTAGAGTTATTAATTGAAAGAAATAATAGTAAGACGGAGAATAGGATAGCAGAAGAACAAGGAGGCTTTTAGGAAAGGAAGGGGTGTGTGGACCAGGTGTTTACAGTGAAACATCTATGAACAGAATTTAGATAAGGCTAAGAGGTCTTTGTGGCATTTATAGAGGGAAAAAAAGAAAGGATTTGGAAAAGGCGTATGACAGGAGTGGATAGGGGGCAAAGTGGCCAGAAGTTGCAGTGTATGGTGTAGGAGGTAGGTTACTGAAGCAGTGAAGAAGTTTTTTTAACGAGATAGTGAGGCTCAAGTTAGAGTATGTAGGAAAGAGGAAATTTTTCCCAGTAAAAGAATGCCTTAGACAAGGATGTGTGATGTCACCGTGGTTGTTAATATATTTATAGATGGGGGTTTGGTTGTAAGATAAGTAAATGCGAGGGTCCTTGGCAAGAGCGTGGAGTTAAAAGATAAAGAATCACACACAAATGGGAGTTGTCACAGCTGCTCTTTGCTGATGACACTGTGCTCTTGGGAGATTCTGGTAAGAGAAAGTTGCAGAGATTGGTGGATGAATTTGGTAGGTGTGCAAAAGAAGAAAACTAAAGGTGAAATACAGGAAAGAGTAAGGTTATGAGGATAACAAAAGAGTAGGTGATGTAAGATTGGAATTATCAATTGGAGGGAGAGAGTTATGGAGAGTAACGTATTCAGATATTGGGAGTGGACATGACAGCGGATGGTCTATGAAAGATGAGGTGAATCAGAGAATGATTGAGGGAAAAAGAGTGAGTGGTGCACTTAGGAGTCTGTGGAACAAAGAACTTTGTCCTTGGAGCAAAGAGGGAATGTATGAGATAAAGTTTTTACCACGCTCTCATATGGGTGTGAAGCGTGTGATGAAATGTTGCAGCAGGAGAAGGCTGGAGCAGTGAGATGTCATTTCTGAGGGCAATGTGTGGTGTGAATATAATGCAAGAGAATTGCGAAGTTTGGAAGTTAGGAGGAGATAGCGGGATAACCAAAACTGTTGTCCAGAGGGCTGAGGAAGGGATGTTGAGGTGGATCGGACATGTAGAGAGAAATGGAGCGAAACGAATGACTTCAAGAGTGTATCAGTCTGTAGTGGAAGGAAGGCGGGTAGGGGTCGGCCTAGGAAGGGTTGGAGTGAGGGGGTAAAGGAGGTTTTGTGTGCGAGGGGCTGGACGTCCAGCAGCATGCTTGAGCGTGTTTTGATAGGTAGTGAATGGAGACAAATGTTTTTTTAAAACTTGACGTGCTGTGGGTAGTGAGAGCAAAGTACCATTTATGAATGGATTCAGGGAAACCGTCAGGCCGGACTTGAAGTCCTGGAAGATGAAGTACAGTGGCCTGCACTCTGAAGGAGGGGTGTTAATGTTGCAGTTTAAAAAATTTTTTGTTGTGTAGTGTAAAGCACCCTTTCTGGCAAGGACAGTGATGAGTGAATGAATGGTGAAAGTTTTCTTTTTCAGGCCAACCTGCCTTGGTTGGGAATCGGCCGTGTGATAATAATAAAATATATATATATATTATATATATATTTTAGGTAGTAGGTTGGTAGACAGCAACCGCCCAGGGAGGTACTACCCGTCCTGCCAAGAGAGTGTAAAACGAAAGCCTGTAAATTGTTTTAACATGAATTGTAGGATTGCTGGTGTCCCTTTTTGTCTCATGAACATGCAAGAATTTTTCAGTACTCTTGGCTACTTCTGCTTACACTTAGATCACACTACACATACATGTACAAGCATATGTATACACACCCCTCTTGGTTTACTTCTATTTTCTTACTAGCTCTTGTTCTTGTTTTCCTCTTATCTCCATGGGAAGTGGAACAAATTCTTCCTCCGTAAGCTATGCTTGTTGTAAGAGGCGACTAAAATGCCAGGAGGCAAGGCTAGTAACCCCTTCTCCTGTAAAATTACTAAATGTAAAGGAGAAACTTTCTGGTTTTTCCTTTTGGGCCCACCCTGCCTTGGGTGGGATAACGGCCGATGTGTTGAAAGAAAAGAAAGATTATATATATATATAAATATATATATATACATATAAATATATATTTTATTAAACAAGTCGGACCGTCCTCCACCGAGGCAGGGTGAACCCAAAAAAGAAGAAAATCCCCCAAAAAGAAAATACTTCATCATCATTAACACTTTCACCATACTCACACATTATCACTGCTTTTGCCAGTTCCCACAGAATACAACAGTTTAGAAGCATATACGTATAAAGAATCACAACATATCCCTCCAAACAGCCAATATCCCAAACCACTCCTTTAAAAGTGCAGGCATTGTACTTCCCATTTCCAGGACCAAGTCCGACTATATGAAAATAACCGGTTCCCTGAATCCCTTCAAACTATTTGTAAAATATTACCCTGCTCACTCTCCAACAGATTGTCAGGTCCCAAGTACATTCGTCTCCATTCACTCCTATCTAACACGCTCACGCACGCTTGCTGGAAGTCCTAGCCCCTTACCACAAAACCTCCTTTACACCCTCTCTCAACCCTTTCGAGGACGACACCTACCCCTCCTTCCTTCCCCTATAGATTATATGCTTTCCATGTCATTCCTACATGATTCATTTCTCACTAATGACCAAACCACCTCAACAACCCTTTTTCTGCCCTCTGACTAAAAACTTTTATTAACTCCACACCTTCTCCGAATTTCCACACCCGAATTTTCTGCAAATATTTACATCCACACATGCCACTTAAACAGGACATCTCCACTGCCTCCAACCGTCTCCTCGCTGCTGCATTTACACCCAAGCTTCACACCCATATAAAGTGTTGGTGCTACTATACTTTCATAACATTCCCTTCTTTGCTCCATAGAATAACGTTTCTTGACACCACATATACCTCAACCACCACTCACCTTTTCCCCATCATTCTATGATTAACCTCATCCTTCATAAATCCATCCGCCGACACGTCAACTCCAAGTTCTGAAAACATTCACTCTTCATACTCCTCCTCCCCAATTTGATATCCCAATATTTTATTATCTAAAACATTTAACACCCCTCCATCACCTTACTCTTTTCTATGTTCAACTTTCACTTTCTACCTTTACACACTTCCCAAACTCATCCACTAACCTTTTGCAATTTTTTCTTTAGAATCCTCACCCTAACACATGTATCATCAGCAAAAAGTAACTGTGTCAAAACCCATTTTGAATTTGATTCCCCTTTAGATGTATTTGTAATTTTGAATTTTTATAAATTTAATCCCACCCTCTCCCAAACACCCTAGCAATTACCTCCTTTACAACCCCACTATAATTAAAGTAACAACCATGGTGGACATTACACATCCCCCTGTCTAAGACCTACTTTATTACCGGGAAGTATTCTCCCTCTCTTCTACACACCCTAACCGAGCCGTCACTATCCTCATAAAAACTCTTTACAGCATTTAATAACTTACCACCTATTCCATATACATGTATTGAAACAGCTTCTGAAAGTTTTATAATAATAGAGCTAAGATCCACCTAGACTTACTGGATCAAAGCAAGCATTTGAGTGAGTAAGTGGACGGCCTCGTGGATAGCATGGTTAGATAAGGTGTAGAGGGCAGGTAGCGCTGGTGGCTTAGACGGTCGTCGTAGCATGTGCGTTACTGCTCCTTCACAAGCGTATTTCATGTCTTCTAAATTTGGGGTTCCTAAGAGATCTGTTATCCGCTCAAGCTGTAAAGAAATTGATAGTTTCATGTTACTGAGTGGATCATATTGCCACTCCCTTCATACACGCTGTTATCATTAATCTTCAATTAGACAAAACACCTGATTATCACCAATCATCTTTCATGACTCATGTGCATAAAAGTATCCATCTTGATTTGTCACATAAGGCTGAATTATACATGACAGAACTAAAAATTAACTAATTTTTAAATTCTAGAATAAGTCTGCCTGAAATGCTTTACATAACTATAGGCTTCTCAAGCATTAAATAACATATAATGTAAAACTGTGTAATGGCATGGACTCTACCTTCCTATACTTTACTTTTATTTACTTTAAATGGTCACTATTTGAATATTATATACTGGGTATATTATGTCATATCCAATAAGTCAGTCAGTCAAACAAGTCAAATGTCTTCCAATGGATCTCTTCAAATAATATTCCAGTATTAATATACAGTATACAACTTTGTAAATTAACAGGGAAAGCAAATTTTTATTTCTCTCCTCACAACTAATGTATTTATACTTAAAATTTAGCCAAAGATAATACCTTTTAAGATACATGTACCTTGTATCTCTAACTGATAATGTTTATTTTGTACAGAGAGTGAGTGAGAATGAGACAGTGTGAAGTGACAAGTGAAAGTCAAGACTAATGTGTGATAAGTGTGCAAGTAAGCGAGAGAGAAGACAGACAGCTGCAAGAACTGTGTCAAAACTGTCAGTGGTGACAATAAGGCAGGTAGGAGGTGGCATTTCCTTCTTAAATCGCTTGATCAAGAAAAGGCTTAGGCCCAGACAAGTTGAGCCAAGATTGCTGAGAAGATGTGCAGACCATCTAGCAGCACCTCTAACCCGCATCATCAGCACTGCCTAGTACAGTGTAAAGGCCCTCTCTGATGGCAAGAGCAAATGTAGTCCAGTCACAAAAGAAGACAGAGGCAGAAATCAGCAACTACAGACCAGTGTCACTCCCCTGTCAATAACTTGATAAGATCCTTGATACAATAATCTCAAGACAAATTACAGAGGTTTTTTGACTATCACTCACTAGTTTGTGATTGTCATAGTGGCTTCAGGAAACATTACTCTGCTGCTGATCTAGTTGTTAAACCATCTCCACTAAGTGGCACCAGTCACCGTGGATGAATCCCAAGTCAGCTGTGTGTAGCACTGGACATTGCTGCGCTTTCGACTGGTTGGCACCAGGGCCTTTTAGCAAAACTTCAAGCACTGGAATTGCAGGCTCTACGCTATGTCTCCCTCAGTGGATTACCTTCATGTAGATCTCTAAGTGTAGTTCCACAATGGAACGAATCAGCAAGACATTCTATTGGGGCAAGTGTTTTCCACAAGGAAGCCTGCTGGGGACCATTGTTATAGAATGTCTACTTCAACGACCTTCTTCATCTCATCCCAGAATCACATGCATATGCAGATGACTGTACACTGACATTCACTTATCCAAGAGAAGAAATGCCAGCTGCTTCTAAGCTACATCAATCACCAGCTGAGAGCTATATCAGCTTGGGGAAATAGATGGCAAGTAACATTTGCACCTGAGAAAACGCAAATGATGATCATCTCTAGGCACCATGATGGTAATGCTGGTGCAATAGTAAGGATGAATGGGAGGGTGTTGGTACCTGGAGAAGAAGTTGATATCCTTGGGGTGAAATTTGACTCCAAACTATCCATGAAGAACCATGTTGTAAATCTTGCAAACAAGGAAGCCAGGAAGCTTACAGCACTTCGCCGTATCTCGCATCTACTTGACAGTAGGGGTTGCAACATTCTGTACGAGGCACAAGTATGCTCACACCTTGAGTATGCTCCACTTTCTTGGTTTGCCTGCCCCCCCTCTCATCTGCGACTACTTGACAGAGCAGAGAACAGAGCAAGACGTCTCATCTCTCGCCTGGACCCATAATGGATAGATCTGTCATTTCAGCAGAGCCTTCAACATAGGAGGGATGTGGGTGGCCTTACTGTTATGTACAAGGCCAATATTGTCAAAGTACCACACTTGGATCCACTTCAAGGACAGCGTGAAACAAGCTTTTATGCCACAAGATGGGCAGAAAGCAGCAACTTCACTCTGGCTGTACCCTTCTCCAGAACATCACTCCATCTGAGATCATATATACCCAGGATGACTCAAGTATGGAACACATTCGTACAGCATAATGATGTCAATGAGATAAAGTCAGTTGATCAAATGAAAATGCTGGCACACAGATGGCTCCAATTTCATCCTGTTCCCTACTTGTATGTCTCATAACAATAAAAACGCTTTCAAATGAGCTGATGTAGGTAACAGCTCTTAACTTGCCAATAAAGTTAGGAATCCTTAACCTCTAAATAGCTTGTCAATAAAGCTAGGGATCCTTAACCTTGTCAAACCCTGTGTAAAAAAAGAGAGAGAGAGATAGAGAGAGAAAAGAGAGACAGAGAGAAAGAAAGGAAGATACTGAAAGAGAGAGAGAGAGAGATGACTCGAGTATGGAACACATTCATACAGCATAATGATGTCAATGAGATAAAGTCAGTTGATCAAATGAAAATGTTGGCCCACAGATGGCTCCAACTTCATCCTGTTCCCTACTTGTATGTCTCATAACAATAAAAATGCTTTCAAATGAGCTGATGTAGGTAACAGCTCTTAGCTTGCCAATAAAGTTAGGAATCCTTAACCTGTAAATAGCATGTCAATAAAGCTAGGGATCCTTAACCTTGTCAAACCCTGTGTAAAAAAAAAAAAGAGAGAGAGAGAGAGAGAGAGAAAGAGAGGAAGATACATAGAAGAGAGAGGAGAGGAGAGAGAAGAGAGAGATAGAGAGATGAGAGAGAGAGAGAGAGAGAGAGAGATAGAGAGAGAGATAGAGAGAGAGAGAGAGAAAGAGAGAGAAAGAGAGAACAGAGCAAGACGTCTCATCTCTCGCCTGGACCAATCCTGGATAGATCTATCATTTCAGCAGAGCCTTCAATACAGGAGGGATGTGGGTGGCCTTACTGTTATGTACAAGGCCAATATTGTCAAAGTACCACACTTGGATCCACTTCGAGGACAGCGTGAAACAAGCTTTTATGCCACAAGACGGGCAGAAAGCAGCAACTTCACTCTGGCTGTACCCTTCTCCAGAACATCACTCCATCTGAGATCATATATACCCAGGATGACTCGAGTATGGAACACATTCATAAAGCAAATGCTTTCAAATGAGCTGATGTAGGTAACAGCTCTTAGCTTGTCAATAAAGCTAGGGATCCTTAACCTTGTCAAACCCTGTGTAAAAAAAAAAAGGAGAGAGAGAAAGAAAGAGAGAAAAAAAGAGAGGGGGAGAGATGGGAGAGAGAGAACGAGAGAGAAAGAGAGAGAGAGAGATATATATATATATATATATAAAAGAGAGAGAAACTCACCTGCTGAACAGGACTCTGCGCTTGAAAGAGTATTCGGCGGCCCAGGAGCTCACCAAATATACATCCTACTGACCAAACATCAACAGCTTGCGTGTAATGTCTGGCACCCATGAGTAGCTCTGGTGCTCTGTAGTACTGTGTCACAACCTCTTGTGTCATGTGTTTGCTCTCGTCTGGTTCTTCCACTCTTGCCAGCCCAAAATCACAGATCTAAAACAAATAAATGCAATAAAATAGACCACAATTCTAACTCATTTAATCCATATTTTATCCCTTCAAGAGGGTCCCTTTCTTGTGTTGAAGGAGCTCTTCATTCAGGGAACTGGACCATTTCTCCCATTCTTCACTTTGAATCTAAATACCTCCACCCTTCATTCTTTTGGTCTCATTAGTGGGGATATTTTTCCTTTTGTGAAATCCAGCTAACATCAGAACTAAAAGAAATTAAGAGTACTATTGGCCCTGTTTTACCAGCTTTGGTTGGTAGTGCTATGGTGACCGGGTCACTCCATCCAATGGAAATTTAATCATCTTATGGCATGTCAGGTGGCTCTTCTTGTGGACATCGGGTAGCCATTTGGCAGGCCCTCTGATGACAGAGGAACTATTGAAGATTGCTTGTGGATACAGAATTGGCAACTAAAACTGTATAACCAGCAGTGTTCTTACCAGTTTGCCCACCACTATTATTAGCTAACTTACAATTGGACAGTTTGTACTCTTATCTAAACAGGCAATTTTGCTAAGCCTTGGACAGTTAATTCCAGAGGTGCCAGCCTGGTGTTGTGGATCAGGCAAGGTAACAGGTGACTTCCAGGGAACAACAGCAATATATGTCACAGCAGTTTAGGCAGAATAAGAGGTGCTTTCCAGGAAACAATAGCAATATGTGATGCAGCAGATCAGGAAGAGTAAGAGGTGGTTTTTCAGGGAACAGCAATATGTGTCACAGCAGATCAGGGAGGGTAAGAGGTGGTTTCTAGGGAACAGCAGCAATTTCTGTCACAGCAGAAGTAACCATGGTTCAGGGTGGGTATGTGCTCTATTCATTTATTCTCAGAGCTGCCTGTTTTTTTCCTTGTAAACGATAAAAAATTAATTTCTTCTCTTGGATCCCTAATGATTGCAAAACTGTCTACTGACCCCAGCAGCAATAATTTAATAATTGTTTGCACTCTTGGAAGAATGGCTCAAAGTCATCTGCCAAGAATCAATGACAGACAAGCAACAATGCTGACATATCATGCACACCCTGACTACACACTAAGAAAAAACACAATATAGAAACCTCTCCCACTATTGGAACTCTTCCAAATATGACAATGGACAAGAGTTTTTTTCATTGAAAAGAATCTAGAAGCATACCCAAATGACCATACATTTGCACACATAACTTAAGACCAACATCAGCCAAAACATCTTCCACCCTCTAAAAGGCGAGAGGTATATAATCAAGAGTTAATGAATGCTGACCAAGCAGATAAACTAATGTGCCTCCACACCACTGGCAAGACCCCATTGACTGTTCGCTGACACTCCACCATCAATTTATGCTAAAGAGCAATTGTCAGCCCTCACAATACTTCACAGACTATGCTGCAGACACACACAAAAACAATTAGTAATTACAACACATCCCAGTCACCAGGGTCAAAACTTATGTCTGCCCTGCTTGCTGACAAGAGACACTGCATGAATAATAAAATGATACTGACATTCAATGGCCATAACACTTCCTCAGAATAAGTAGCAAGTCACATCTTGATGGTAAGGAAGCTCAAAACAACACAACAATAGTTGCAAATGTTGGCACTACAGTCACCTGGCAAAATACTGGAGGTCACAGGCAGAATGTCCATTGTGGAGAATCCAATAATAACAACTCAAATTATGACTGCTCCCTTCCTGCCTTAAGTGAAACAAAACACATCCTTTGTAATCTCACTGGTGCCCTATTTTTCTTTAGGAAAGTGAAATTGCGTGCTTGGAAGAGAAAGAGAGTTTGCTTTATAACTAATGGAAGGGAATACTGCACATCATCTACTCCAGAATGCCTGACACTCCCAACACACAGTAGTGACTTCCTATATTTTCATTCCTGTGTTCAACCCTTATGCAGTCCTCATAGTTGATATTCCCAAGTTTTCAGTGTCTGTCACCTTCCCTGCCCCCCAACATCCTATACATTACTCCTTAGTTGTCAATTCTACACTTGCAATACAACCCCAAAGATCTCCAAAAAATTTTATCTTGATCCCTAGCAACAACACACTTCCACTCTCTCCCTATCCTCCCCAGACACAAGTCCTACATTTACAGGCTCCTCCCTCACTTGGGCCAACTAGACTCACAACACTCTCTTCCTTTGATGGCTGCCAATATCTCTACCCTCTCTACTCCTACTTTCCTCATCCATCCCACATAATATATTCCCTTCCACTTCCTTGTCTCTGAAGATGTTTAAAGAAATTATAGTATATCTCAAGATGGGGACACTCAGCAAGACCCCTCAATGATCTAAACCTAATTGCATATACACACCATGTGACTATAACCACAATACTACACTAACAACTACACCCCAGCCTTGCAATCCTTTCCCTCAACTGGTTAATGTTTTACTACCTCCTACACTTGCAACTTACATGTGTGCTACTTCTTGTGACACAAAAAATACAACCCCACACAAATCCCTCATCACTACTGTGCCTCTACTGTCTCATGTCTACTTCAGCAATCATTCTTAGTCCATAACTACCATTTTGCTTACTTCTACTGCTGTATTACTATCACCAAGTGGGAAAATCAAGATCAAAAATATTAAGTTATTCACATGGAAACATAAATAAAAAGTTCAACTTATTCTATTCAAATTTTGATTTTAGAAAATAGTAATACAAAAGCTACATTAGATGTACAAACTGACCAAATGCTACTTTTTTTAGGCTACAAAATTATATCACTGAATACTACAAAAAAAACTGCCCCTACTTTGGAGCATTTGAGACTGCTATTTTAGGTGAGACAATTGTGATCATAGCTCATAAAAAACTATAAATAACTAACAATTTCTTGGATACTATAAGTACAATTGCTAAATTTTAATATTGGTAATTAAGAAAATAATATAAATATTTGTACTTCATTTATAATCAAGAAAGAATTTTTTGCTGGTACTGTACTATACAGCCTCTCTTCACTAAACCTTTTCAGGGTCGAGAGGCCCTCTCCTAAACTCGTTCTAAGGGTCGAAAATTTTTTTGGAAAAAAAAAAAAATTATTTTTTTCTTATGAGATGATAGAGAATCTTTTCCCAATCATAATGACACCAAAAGTATGAAATTTGATGGAAAACTTACGAAATTATCCTCTCACAAGGTTAGCGGTCTCGACGATGTTTACGCATCAGCGATTTCACCCACTTTGAGCCCTATTTTCGGCCAATTCCAGTGCACTAGTCGACAAAAATCATATCTATTTCGCTAGAACTCCATTTTTTTCTATCGAATGAGTACAATAAACAACCCATTTACCGATTTCAACTATCCAATAAAGTGGTCGGAAATTGGCCATTTTGCCAATTTCACACAAATTTCAGAAGATGCCAATTTCCAAATAGGGTCCAGAATAAACAAGACAGACATTCCTGGCACTAAAATAACATTTTCTCTGTTCATCAGTCATGTCCCCAGGCCCTGCCTCCATCTCTTTTGCTTTCCACTTTGAATTTTTATTCTCACAAAAAATAGAAGATTTACTGTTATGCAGACTACTGCATTAGTGTAGAAATGGTGTAGAAATGGTATAAATAATGTCAGCACACTTGTGAAAGAATATTAGACTCACCAGTTGACGTGTAATGGACGCGTGGCATGATTTGTTTACTTTTGAACTTTGGTAAATATCGAGCATTTCTGCTACTTTGAGCTCAATTTCAAGGTACTTTTCATTATGAAACCAATCAAAATTATCTCAATTTCTGTAATATGTCTTTCATTCTATAAAATGAGACCAGGAAAACTAAAATACAACCATAAATACCAAACAAAAATACACTGCAAAGCCGCTGTTTTAAACCAAAAACATGGTCGGAATTTTTTTTTTTTGTGCACTGTGTGCTGCAGAATTTTTTTTATACTGTGCACAGTGACCACATAGACCCATTCTTTCATATGTAGGCCTACCAGCTTTCTCTCACTAGATTGAAGGCGCTAGCATTTAGGCGTATTAGTACATCAATAACCCTGGTGCGAAAGCTGTACTAGTACGTACATCGGAAACCCGGAAAGGGTTAACAATGGAATTCCGTTCCTAATACCACGTCAATAAACGAATTCGTAGATAAACAAGGAGCATATTATAATGGTAGTGGGTTTATGTCGACCATCTCTGATATTGCTTTAATGTCACCCTTCCACCATTTATAACATTTTTAGTATATTTTTAAATGTTTATACAGTAATGTACTGTATATTATAATAAACAGAATAGAGGAAATCATACTGGTCAGAGAGTCCGTTGTAGGTCCGAGTCGTCGGTAAACAAGTATGTTGCTAAGTGAGGGAGAGGCTCTATAGTACTGCTACCAACATCAACACAATGGTCATGTCTCTTCTTTCTTGTTCTACCAGATAACAAAACCCATAAAATGTTTGCTTGAACAAGCAATGCCTTCTTTATAAATGTCTTTCACTTTCAGCCTCCTAACTACGTATATCGTGTTCATCAGTATCACATAGACTGGGAACTTCTGGAACATCACATGCCAGGGTTTGAGAAGCATTTATGCCCTTAGGGATCTCTGTATATCTATAACAAGAACATGGTCTTTGGCTGTGTTCCTCATGCTAAGGAGCCAGGTCTTGCTGCTGATGAGATGCCACTCCCTTGTGCCAGTAGATCTTCCTGTGGGTACCTTAGTTGCCTTGCCATGAGCTCTTTGCCTTATGCTACTGTCAATCATCTTTTTTTAAAGTAATACAATAGAATGTAGCTAACCAAACCTCCAGATACCACTTGACCTTTCGGTTCTTTTCTTATATTCTTCAGGACATGTACTGGGTCGAAAGGGTATATGCTTTAAGCTCTGAATCCAGATTTTGCCAAAGGCTCCCATTTATCATCCATTTCTGGCATGAGAGTCAGAAGTAGTCTTGGTAGTGATAATTTCTGGAAACATGTTGCATGCTTTCCTTCACCTTTCTTCCAGT